GGAGGAACCAGTGACTGTCATTTTGGGGTAAGCATTCCTAGTTCTCAGGGTTTCAAGACAGACACCTAAAGCACCTGCAAACATTGTTCATAATATGTACAGTGATTGTTTTATAAGACATATCACTGTGTACAAGGTGTTGCAAAGTATAATTCCGCCATTTTAAGTAAAAACAATGAGGCAGCAGATATCAGACAGCCAGATCTCCAGGAAAAAAGTAGTAAGAAGCTTTAGCTGTAAGGTATTGTATTTTATTAAACCAAAGACCTCTGAGAGTTCAGGTGGGACTCTTGTTTCTAGTCAAGACACAGTACAAGAACTGTATTAACTTTCTGCCTGAAATAACCACAAAATCAGACAAAATATATGAAGTAACAGTTTTTGAAGCACTGAGCACTGGGCTATGAAAGACAGTGAATCTCAGAAAGATGGGAGGCAAATAGGCCCCAACTGCTCAGTTTCCTGCATGGAGAGCTTCCAGGCTGTGGTGCAGGGGCCCTGAGTGAGTAGCTGGGACTACAGGCGTGCAACACCCCACTAGGCTAATTTTTACATTTTTTGTAGAGATAGGGTTTCACCATGTTGCCTAGGCTAGTCTCGAACTCCTGGGCTCAAGTGATCAGGCCACCTAGGCCTCCCAAAGTGCTGGGATTACAGGTGTGAGCCACTGAGCCCAGCCTGTCAATATTGTTAAGAAATTAATTCTCCTACATTGATCTATAGATTCTATATACTATCAATAAAAATCTTAGCACACTTTCTTATACAAATTGGCTGATTCTGAAATTCACATGGAAACACAAGGGACCAAGAATAGCCAGAAACCTGTGCAAATATATGAGGTTGGGGGGCCAACACACCCCGATTTCACACCTCACTCCACCTACTCCTACATGGTTTCTGACAAAGGAACAAAGGCAATTCAGTAGGGGAAAAGAGGCTGAAAAACTGGACATTTGCAAGGAAAATACTGACTCTAGATTTTTTGTTTGTTTGTTTATTTTTTGAGATGGAGTCTCATTCTGTTGCTCAGGCTGGAGTGCAGTGGCACAACCTCGGCTCACTGCAACCTCTGCCTCCCGTGTTCAAGCGATTCTCTGGCCTCAGCCTCCCGAGTAGCTGGGATTCCAGGCGCCTGCCACCACGCCCGGCTAATTTTTTGTATTTTTAGCAGAGATGGGGTTTCACCATGTTGGCCAGGTTGGTCTCAAACTCCTGAGTGCTCAGGTGATCCACCCGCCTTGGCCTCCCAAAGTGCTGGGATTACAGGCATGAGCCACTGCACCCGCTCTGACTCTAGATTTATATTTCACAATATATACAAAAATTCACTCTACATAGATCATAGACCTAAATGTAAAACCTAAAACTCTCAAATGTCTGGAAGAAAATATAAGAGAAAACTTTGTGACCTTAGATTAGGCAAGATTTCTTGGATACTAAAAGTACAGTCCATAGAAGAACAAACTGATACATGTGACCTGAAAACTTAAAACTATTACTCTTCAAATGGCACAATTAAGAGAATCAAAAGACAAGTTGAAGACTAGGGAGAAAGTATTTGTAAGGCGAATATATGATACAGGACTTGTATCCAGAATACTTAATAAACTCAAATACTCAATAGTAAGAAAATAACCAACACAACAAAAATGAGCAAAATATTTAAATAGACACTTCGTCTAAAAAGATACATAGAATGGCAAGTAAATATGAAGATGCTTCACATCAGAGGGAAATGCAAACTAAAACCACAGCGACACTCCACCACACACCCACTAGCGCAGCTAAAATTATAGGCTGAGGACACCACATGCTGGTGGCGGACTGGAACTGGAACTCCCATACACTGCTGGGAGAGGCACAAAAGGGGCAGCCACTGTGAAAAACAAGAAATTTCATAAAAAGGTAAACATATATTTTCCATATGACCCTTGAGAACTTACTTCTAGATAAAGAAGTAAGCAGAACTTACCTGAGAGGAATAAGAATGTATGTCCAAACAAAGGGTCATTCACAGATGTTCACAGCAGCTTTATTTAAAACAACCCAAGGCCGGTGCAGGGGCTCACGCCTGTAATTGCAACACTTTGAGAGGCCAAGGCAGGCGGATCACCTGAGGTCAGGAGTTTGAGACCAGCCTGACCAACATGGTGAAAATACAAAAATTAGCCAGGTGTGGTGGCGGGTGCCTGTAATCTCAGCTACTTGGGAGGCTGAGGCAGGGGAATCGCTTCAATCTGCGAGGTTGCAGTGAGCCAAGATCGCGCCACTGCACTCCAGCCTGGGGTGACAAGAGTGAAACTCTATCTCAAAGAAACAAATAAAAAACCCCAAACATGGACACTCAAATGTCCATTAACTGATGAATGGAGAAAATAACTGTGGTATACCCATTCTATGAGGTAATAAACAAGTTACAATCACACTGCGTGCACATGAATCTCAAAAGCACTGTCCTAAGTGAATGAAGCCAGACACTACAAAATAGATGACTGCATTTAGATAACGTTCTGGAAATGACAAAATATAGCGACAGAAAGCAAATGGGGGACTGCCAAGGGTTAGGAGTCAGGGGAGAGGGCTGATCGCAAAAGTGGTCATGGCAATTTCGGGGGTGGTAAAAATATTCTACCTTTCTACCAAGAAGAGTCTATCTTGACCATGGTGCCGGTTACATAACGGTATCTATACATCTGTTAAAACTTCTTGGAGTGCATATCATATGTAGACTGTATCTCAAAGCTGACAAGAAAACATAATTCACTTACACTTCAGACAAAGAATGGATGTGTATGTACACCAAACTGTCAACAGTTTTCTTTGGGTGATAGGAGTATAGGTGATTGAAGTCTTCTTTTATATATTTTTTATAATTTTTACAATGCAGTCACTTGCATATCCAGAAAAGAATTTTTTTTTTTTTTTTTTTGAGACGGAGTCTCGCTCTGTCGCCCAGGCTGGAGTGCAGTGGCGCTATCTCGGCTCACTGCAAGCTCCGCCTCCCGGGTTTACGCCATTCTCCTGCCTCAGCCTCCCGAGTAGCTGGGACTACAGGCGCCCGCCACCTCGCCCGGCTAATTTTTTGTATTTTTAGTAGAGACGGGGTTTCATTGTGTTAGCCAGGATGGTCTCGATCTCCTGACCTCGTGATCCGCCCGTCTCGGCCTCCCCAAGTGCTGGGATTACAGGCTTGAGCCACCGCGCCCGGCCAGAAAAGAATTTTTTTAATTCAAGTATTTTCACAGAAATAATTGTATGACACATCGTGACCCAAAATGTAGATATCACACTACTTAATGAACGTTGTTTTACAAAAAGACGACGCCAGAAAAAAAATCCGCATGTAAATAAAACATCCAAGTACGGTAAAATGCACTTTTAGCCATTTTTTGTTACTTTATAAATGGAACACCATCACTTTGAATTAAACGCTACAAAATCTGAATATCTTAAAGGCAACCACTGATCACAAAACAGAGAAGAAAACCACTGTTTTTGAATTTTGAAGTTTTTCAAAATCTGAATATCTTAAAGGGAACCATTAATCACAAAACACAACAGAGAAAAAACCCTATTACTGTGGCAAGTGACACAGTACTAACAGTTTTATTTATAACGAGAGAAATAATTTGCTGTATACTTGCAAAATATGAGTCACGTGGCTCCTAGAAACACACCTCCTTCTCTTCGGTAATGGGATAACTTTAAGAATCGTTCTAAGCAGCTTAAGCCTGAAAACAAAAATTCCACCACGGCAATAAACAAAACCACTTGTTGCCTCTGGGGCTCCCGGCCCTGCAGTGGAGGCAAACGCCCTGCCTTTCCGCTCCCCGGCGAGAGCCTGCGAGGCACCCGGAGCGGCCGCCCGGCCGCGTCTGCGTCACGCGGGGCAGGAGCGGCGCCCCCAGCCTCGGCCGCCGCCTCACCTGGTAGAGCTCCTCGAGGTTGTACCTGATGGAGGTGCTGCTCTGCACGGCCCGCACCGCCTCGTGCAGCTTCCGCCACGTGTCTTGCGTGTAGTTGTCGGGCAGCCGGGGTCTGTCTGCAGGGCGGAGAGAGAGCGGGCGGCTCAGGGCGCGCCGCGAAGCGCCCCGCGTCGCCACCCCCGACCCGGCCGGCGCCCCAGCGCCCGCGCTCAAGAGGCCCGTACGGATCTCGGGCCTTCCCCCCAGGGCGGGCGGGGTCTCGTGGGGCCCCCGCTGGGGTCGCCCGGCCCTCGACCCGGCCGCCGCACCCACCTCGGAAGTTCTTGATGACCAGCTTCTTGGAGCCGCCCGCGCCCCCCGGCTTGGCGGGCGCGGCGGCCAGGGCCGCGGGCTTGGTGAGGCCGTTGGTGCGGCCCACGAGCGCCGAGAAGCTGCCCTTCCGCGGGGCCTCGTCCGCCATGGCTGGGCCGGAACCGCCGCGCCCCGCCCCGAGCGCCGCCGCCCGCCCAGCTCCGCTCCGCCCGCCCCGGTCCGCGCGGCCTCCGCCCAGTCCTTCTCGCGCGCCCCGCCCCGCCCCGCCCGCGTGCCCGAGACCAACCGCCGCCGCGCCCGGCTACTCCTGAGCCCTTAGGGGCGCGCGCTGGGAACCCCTCCTGAGGGATCGGACCCCCCCTAAGAGCTTCGGACACCCATTCCTGGCTCGAGGGCGCGCGCCGGGACCCCCACCCCCGCCCCCGAGGGATCGGGACAGCCCCGGTTCCGGGGGGCGCACCGGGACACCCCCGGGGCTCTGGGTACCCCCTCCTGGCTCGGGGGTGCGTGCCGGGGGCCCCCTCCTGAGGGGCTCGGGAGCCGGGACCCCCTCCTGAGGGCCCCAGGGAGCGCTCCTCCTGAGGGTTCGGCACCCCCACCCGGGGCGTGAGACCACCTCGAGGGCTCGGGGGTGCGCGCCGGGACGTGCCCCAACTTCTGAAGGCTCGGGAGCGCGCGGCGGAGGCACCTTATGAGAGCTCGGGAGCGCGCGCCATGTCCCTCCCCTCCACCCCCGCTCGGGCGCGCGCGTCCCGAGTCCCTGGCCCAACCCGGCGCGGAGCGTGATCCGCGGCCTCGTTTTCACAGCGGGCAGTCGAGGGGACAGCGCAGTGAAAGGCACTTTAGCAGTGGGGCTGTTCTCGCCACTGGACCCCAAACCCCTCAGCCCGGGCGGGCCCGAACACACAATCAGAGTCGCTGGCGTCCCGGCTGAGAGGACGGGGGCCCGACAGAAAGACCCCGGGACCCCTTAGCCCGAGCGTGTCGCCGAGCCGGTGTCCGGATTCTCCCTCCGGAACCAGCCTGCGCACAGGCGACGGGGTCGGGGGCTCCGGGACCCAGACGGACCGAGGGCAGGAAGTGACGCCAGCTGTCCCGCTTGGGGTGTAGGGGGTGGCGCTCTGTGCTCGGCGGCGCTGCCATGGCACACATTACCATCAACCAGTACCTGCAGCAGGTGGGTCCTAGCCGGGGAGCGCGCGGCGGTGTGGCTGGCCCTCGGCGTGTTCCGTGTGTCCCCTCCTGCCTTGGACCCTCAGGCGTCTTCCTTTCGCGCCTCGTCCCCTGTCCTCTGTCCGGGTCCCCGGCGGGCAGCGGCGCGAGCCGACTGAAAGGCCGAACAGCGGCGGCCGGGGCTCCCCTGCAGGGCCGCCGTGGGGGCCGGGCGGTGTCCGTGGATCGCGGAGTTGTCGCGGTGTAAGTAGACGCGGGGGCTCCAGGTCACTGCCCTCATTGCTGGCGTGTGTGGCCGCGCCCCCAGGGGGCCCGAAGGGCCTGCGAGCCGCGCCAAGGGCCCGGTGTGGGCGGTGCTGTGTCGGGTGGACGCTGCTTCCCAGCAGGATGCGGGATGACTTCGGGGACTCCAGGAGGCGATGGAGGGGTAAGCGCGAGGCTGTGGCCGTGTTGCAGGCCGGGCTGGTGTCCCTGGTCTTCGCTGTGTTTTAACGCCCTTCACTCTCCAAGCACAATGCACACTTCATATCGCTCGGTAGATGCGTCTGACGGGTGTTGTTCAACAGCCTTACAGGCTTCAAAGCGCATGTTCTTTCCACTTAACTATGCCTGTCCTCAGAACCAGCACTGTGGTAACAGGAATAGGAAAAATAGGGAATGGATTTTTAAAATATTTGAAGGAAACATTACCAGGACGTGGTGAATAAGAATGGGTGGGCTGAGGGACACCGAGGAGTTAAGAATGATTCCCAGGTTTGTAGTCTGGGAAAAAGATGAATAGAGTGGATTTGGAGGGAGAAATAAATTAAGTTTTGGGCATGTTGAGTTTGAGGTATCTGTTGACAACTAGGTAAAGATACGAACTTGACAGCCGAAAAGTCTGACATGATTGGGACCAGCAGGTGCTTGGTTAATTGAGAAAACTGGTTAAAACAGGAATCACGAAAAGATGGATATATGCTTTTAACTTAAAACATGAAAGTATACGTTCACTTGCCAATTTTTTTTTTTAACCGCTTACCTCTAGTTTGATACTTGCCAATCTTTGGATGTAGGCCCAAGGCCTTTTCTTTAGGCTGTCTGTTTTGGCCTAATCTTTGCAGAGTTAACATTTTCCAATATAAGTTTATTTAAAGTTAAGGATATAGGCATTTAAGAACCACTTTGATACGATTATCTTTAGAATTTTCTTAATCTTTTACAATTTTTCCCCCACACCTTTTTTTTTTAAGAAACTCAAGTGAGCCTTTTAAAAACTTGCAACTTAGCTTATAGAGAAACAACTGCTTCCTTTTGCATTCATATTTCATTGATGACCTTAAAAGTACATAACTACCGTAACAGGTTCAGCTAGCAAAAATGGATTTGAGAACAAACACATCTGGATATGAGAACACATACAACTAAGCTAGCAAAAGCTTGCAATGTATTAGAGTGAAGCCTACTTGCTGGAAGTCCTCATCATGCCTTGGGCATCAGCTCGTGTATTTCAGGAAGGGTTTGGAGAGAGTCATAATTCCAATTCAAGTCAGTTAAAGTGAGACTGGTAAGCGAGCTTCTACTCTATGTGTGTAAGCTGAAGTTTAAACAGACAGATTTGGGTTAAAGATACAAATCTGAGACTCCTTGATATACACATGTTGGGAAAGACTGAGAAGGGGTGACCCAGGGAACAAGTAGAGAGTGGACAGGGGCTGGGCCCAGGATGGACCTCTATAGAGATGTGCATGCCTGCGTCTCCACAAAGGGCAGTGTAGCCACTAACGTGAGACAGGAAAAGTCCACTTCCTCCTAATTTTGATGTATAAAAGTATTTCTGGTTGGACTGGCATGTTACCTAGGTTTTATGTATTAAGAGTTTTTTTTTTTTTTTTTTTTTTTTTTTTTTTTTTGAGACAGAGTTTGGCTCTGTCCTCCAGACTGGAGTGCAGTGGCGCAATCTGGGCTCACTGCAAGCTCCGCCTCCCGGGTTCACACCATTCTCCTGCCTCAGCCTCCTGAGGAGCTGGGACTACAGGCGCCCGCCACCTTGCCCAGCTAATTTTTTGTATTTTTTTAGTAGAGACAGGGTTTCACCGTGTTAGCCAGGATGGTCTCAATCTCCTGACCTCATGATCCGCCTGCCTCGGCCTCCCAAAGTACTGGGATTACAGGAGTGAGCCACCGCGCCCGGCCATATTAACAGATTCTTGAATATTTTTTAAAAATAGGTGCCTCGGCCGGGCGCAGTGGCTCAAGCCTGTAATCCCAGCACTTTGGGAGGCTGAGACGGGCGGATCACGAGGTCAGGAGATCGAGACCATCCTGGCTAACACGGTGAAACCCCATCTCTACTAAAAAATATAAAAAACTAGCCGGGCGAGGTGGCGGGCGCCTGTAGTCCCCGCTACTCGGGAGACTGAGGCAGGAGAATGGCGTGAACCCGGGAGGCGGAGCTTGCAGTGAGCTGAGATCTGGCCACTGCACTCCAGCCTGGGCGACAGAGCGAGACTCCGTCTCAAAAAAAAAAAAAAAAATAGGTGCCTCTTTGATAGAGAACGGCAGCCTGTTGCACACGGTAACACAGCATGTTTGATTTGTTGTATAGGAACATAGGTGCCAATGTAACTGTATCTCTTTGGGAATAAAACCGTCATTTGCACATTTATCAAAGCTAGGAAGTTGGGGGAAATCATTGACTCCTCCTTTAGTCCTTTACCTAACTGGATGTATCTCCGAAGGCTCTCAAATCCATCCCTTCTTTATCTGTTGCCACACGCTCCCCAGCCAGGACCCACCGGCTGCAGGCCCTGGTTGATGGTTTCCTTTACTTTGCCCTTTCCAAGGGAAACATAGCAAAGAGGGCATAGACTTTAAAGACAATAAGACTTCAGCTGAAATCCTGGCATTTTTACTAATTCTGGGACGATGACAAGTTATCATCCTTCTGTGACTTCTCCTATCGACTTCTGTGACTCTCCATCTCTAAACAGGGTTCGCGAAAGTTTTGAGGAAAAAAGACCATGAATACACAGTAAATGCATTTGCTTAGTAAATGATAGTTCTGGTATTTTATTGAAGAAGAGTTGAGCATCTGCCTCTGTTACTAAAACTTGATTGACTCTGTTTCCTCCAGGGAAAGTTCCAGATGCTTTAACACATCATCTGGTCTGTTTACCTGTTAACTTGGCGTCACCAGTCTAAAGGTTTATTTCACTTGTGCTGAATGTACCGTGGCCCCTGCCGAAGTACTCATAACTTAAATTTACCATTTAACCATTTTAAAGTACACAATTAAGTACATTCACAATATTGCACAACCATCACCATTATCCAGAATTTTTTTGTCACCCCAAATGGAAACGTCGTAAGCATTAAGCAGTCACTCCTTGTTCCTGCCTCCCCGAGCCGATCAACCGCTAATCTACTTTCTGTCTGTGTGGATTTGCTGATTGTGGTGATTTCAGTATGTGGCTTTTGTGTGTCTTTTACTTACATCATGTTTTCAGGGTTCATCTGTGTTGGAGCGTGTATCAGTGTGTCATTCCTTTTCATGGCTAATGATACTGCATCATATGGAATATTTTGTTTATCCATTCGTCAGTTGATGGACCACTTCGGTTGTTTCCTCTTTTTGGCTATTGTGCTGCTGCTGTGAACATTCATGCACATGTTTTGTTTTCTTTTTGGCATATACCTAAGAGTAGAATTGCTGAGTCATATGGTAATTCTGTGTTTAACTTCTTGAAGAAATGCCAAAGCAGCTAGCTGCATCATTTTACATTTTCACCAGCAATGTATGAGGGTTGCAATGTCTTCACTTCCTTGTCCACACTTGTTTTTTCCATTCTTTCTATTATGGCCATCCTGCGGGGTGTGGAGTGTTATCTTCTTGTGGCACCCCATGATCTTTCTTGTCCCAAAGATTTTCTTCATTATGTTCCTTTTGCCAAGAACACCTCTCCTTTTTACAGGTGTAGTGAACACCTTTATTTAGGGAATCAGCTTTGAGTTACATACTTTACTCCTTAATCTTGAACAGTTCTTCATATTGCCTTTCAAGAGTTTATGGAATTGGAAAGTTTGACTGTTCAGAAGTGACTTCAGAGATTCATGACCTGTAACGATTTTGAATTTTTAAAAGAGTTTTGAATTCCAGGAGTAGATGGTGCCCGCTGTGGACCAGACTGGTGGGTGTGTGGGGCATGCAGCAGCCACAAGAAAGTCTTCCTGGGGCCAGAGCCAGGGAGCATCCCCTGGTGAGCCAGGCCTGGGGGTGCCGCTCAGAAGGTGCTCACTTGGAGTCTGGTTGTGTGGTCCCGTTGAGGGCTGAAGGCTCTGCAGCATGAGATGTTAAGAATTGGCCAGGTGGCTGGGCTGCTAGGGGTCCTGCGTCCACTGTGGTGCCAGTCGCACTTTTAGTGCTTGCTGGTACTGTCTGTTGCCATCCCTGCTTTTCCTCTTCACACCCCCAGCCTTCTCACAATTTAGTCATTGAGGCAGGGGCATTGATAGGACCACCCTTGGGACACATTCATGCCTACCAAGCAAACTGGGGCCCTCCTTGGACTCAAGGCCCTGTGGCACTGAGCACTCCTCTAGTCAGGTCACACCTGGGACACTGGGTGCAGCCCAGGTGGGTGTGGCCAAGTGGAGTTGAGGATGTGGTGACATCACCCTGCATATGTGCAGGGACCACCCGGGGAGGTCACAGGCAAAAGAGGGTTACCAGTGAGTGCCCCCAGCAGGGGTCTCCACCTCTCCTTGGAGGGACCCGGTGTCTGGACTCCAGGGTTTGATCCCTTCGTGACCACTGTGTCCCCAGTGTGTTCAGTCATTGAAGTATGCTTCCATTCCACAGTGCTTGCTCCAAGTCTGGGACTCTCAGTGCCCCATAGGTTCCCTCTGCAGAGAGCCCTGGAGGCCTTGGCAACATCAGAACATCGTGCTCAAGTGTGACCGGTCACCAGAGTACTGATGTTAACCAGAACAAGGCCTCTTAGGCTCCTGGGGCTGGGCCCACTGCAAGGCCCTGGGTGGTGCGAGTGATTGCACAGTATGGGGCCCAGCGTGCCTGGAACCATAAGCAGGGGTGGCTGTGGGGAACTGTTAGCTTGAACCTCCTGTTTGTGTGGAGCCAAAGAGAGCACGGCTCGGCCAGCAGGCTCCAGAACGGCTTTCTAGCCAGAAGCGCCTTAGTTGAGCAAGGTTGGAGTCTGTTGGGGCTCCTGTGGCTAGGCATGCCCACACGGCGCAGGGAGGGCCACTTTGGAAGGCATGTCCTCTTTGGGGCTAAACTGACTAGTACTGGTTTTCTTGGGGGACCTGCAGACCAAGACCTGGGCGGGATCGGTCATTTTACCTTCCAGCCCAGGGCCAGCTACTGATGGGAGGGCAAGCAGGGAAGACCCTGTGTGCCTGCCCAGCCCAGGCAGTCGCCTCCCTCGTCCTTGAGGGTGCTGTTCCGTTGCATCTGGTCAGGTGGTCTCGAGGGAGCCAGATGAGGCCCCTTTGGAGCTGGGCAGCAGTGAGTTCTTGCAGGGAGTGGGCAGGGGACACGGGAAAGCCTCCTGCAGAGGATGGGCAGATGCCAGTGTTGTCTTCTTGGGGCCACCTTCAGCTTGATGATGATGATTGGCAAATGCAATGTTGTAAATTGCAAAATACTGATCTCTAGCATGGTCATTTTAAAGAGGAAACCTAACCCTTTCCCCTAAACAGTTGAGGATCTTAGTATCCATCTGTCTGTCTTTTAGATTAAATTCCTAAACCTGTGGCCAGGGCTATGAAGAGAAACTTAGTTTTCATAATACTTGGGCCCAAATCATCTTGCACCCATTGTGACTTTGAAAATGTGAGGAGCTGGGATATGATGTGACCTTGAGCAGCAGCCTGTGACCTTACATGGACTGGGGCAGGAGGGCTGCCTCTGAATGGCTGTAATTTCCCTATGAAGGCATAAAACCTGGAAGTCTTCAGATGGCTTCAGCTGAAGAAAAAGTTAAGCTCCTGCTCACACCGCCAACCCAAATCCCATGGGACTCTCCCTTCTGCTCTGTGCCAGTGCTGCTCATTCTCACTGACAACTGTGGTCCCAGCGACACCAGCCCACCCACTACACTCACAAGCAGTTCAGGATTCGGGCCCCCATGCCACCAACAACATCTACTCAGTGATGATGAAATTCAGGACTTCTTTTTTTTTTGGGGCAGTCTTTTCGTCCTTAGAATAAGGACAGTCAAATCCCACAAACCACTGTTTTCAAAGGTTACTCATATTCTTTTTTCTGATATCCACTTAGGTATGTATTTTCTATTTGTTTCAATTTTAAGGTTTGTCTTTCTATTTTATTTCTTGAACGGGGTTGTAAGTAACTGTTCTGTTTAAAGGTGTGCTCAGAAACTTTCCTTCTATCTCTCTCTCACCTCATTCTACCCCCTCTCTAGAAAGATAATCATTTTCATTAGATTCTGCCTTCTCCATCCTGTATTTCCTTTTGGGATGTTTATGACACAGAGACATAAACACGTATTTTTCTTGTTTCCCTTCATTCTTATACAAAAGGCAGCATTCTGTACATACTCTTCTACAACTTGCTTTTTTCACTTAACTGTATCTTCCTGGAAATTATTCCATGAAAATTCATAGAGATCTTCCTCATTTTCAAAAAATGGTTGCATAGTGTGCCTCAAAATAGATGTTTCACAGAGTATTCAGCCAGTCTGTATGGATGGATATTTAGTTTGTGTCCAATATTTTGTGATTACATGTAGCCGAGTATAAATATCTTCTGTTTCTAGTTGTAAGTCCCTGGAAGTGTGATTACTGTTTCAAAATGTAAATGCATATGTAGTTGTATGGAATAGTCAGGTGGGAAATTCCTTATCATTTAAGTTAGTCTTGAGGAAGGTGGTGTCAGCCTCCCAGTCATACCCTGAGTTGAACAATGGGGTAGGAGGAGTTGGGCTCCAGCGTGTTGAACTGGTGGCATGTATCTCCTTTTCTTCTGGGTATAGACTCCTGGGCACAGGATTACTGGGTGAGAGAGTAGGCATTTGCTTGCTTTAGTAGAATACCAATTTTCTTCTAAAAATTTACCCCAACTTACCCCACCACCAATGTGTGAGCCTTCTGGTTGCCTCAGGCTCCTGGCAACACTTGGCGTCATCAGCCTTCCTAGTTGTAAGTACTCTGGTGGGTGTAGAGGAAGCTCATCTGCTTGTGCTTTTTGGCCATTTGCACATCCATGTTATGACATCCCCGGTCAGTCTTGTGTTACCATAAAATGTAAATATTTAAATTCCTCATAGTTAAATTATACTGTATCTAAAGCATTGTGCTTGCCTTTTTGCTTAGTTAGAATTTTTGTGTCTTTTTTTTTTTATGAGACAGAGTCTCACTCTGTGGCCCAGACTGGAATGCAGTGGCGTCATCTTGGCTCACTGCAAGCTCTACCTCCTGGGTTCATGCCATTCTGCCTCAGCCTCCTGAGTAGCTGGGACTACAGGCGCCACCACCACGCCCAGCTAATTTTTTTGTATTTTTAGTAGAAACGGGGTTTCAGTGTGTTAGCCAGGAGGGTCTCGATTTCTTGACCTCGTGATCCGCCCGCCTCGGCCTCCCAAAGTGCTGGGATTACAGGCGTGAGTCACCGCGCCCTGCCATTTTTTTTGTAAATATAATTTAAAAGCATATTTGGTTTTCTAATTATAAAATATCTGTTGTGGCAGGAGCTAGATAGGGCAAAAGGCTCCCGGGTCTCCCAGTCTCCACCTCATGGTCTGCGTAGTCAGCTGGTGTGGTGTGATCCAGGCCCTGCATTCTTTCCTGTGTTTACATGTTGTACATAATTTTTCTCTTCTTTTTTCTCCCAAATCAAGTTATACAGTTTTCCTGCAGTTAACTTTTTTTTTTCATTTATTCATCATATTGTGGACATTTTCTCATGTTACTACGTATAGATCTATTTTATTCGTTATAACAGCAGCCAAGTATCGCATTATATGAATGTGTCATCTATTTAGCTATTTCCATTTTCCTTTTATTTTATATTAAGGTTGAGTGGAAGCTTTTTGAATTTTGGATATATGTGGTTTTTAACCTGATTTCTTTTTCATAAGCTGTATATTTGGATTTTCAAACATATATCAGTGTGATCGAGTAAAACTAGAATAATTCACCTTCATGAAGAGCTGCCTGATAAACCACTGACTTATTTTTATTAGCTTGACCTGTTTTTTTTGCTTCAGGAACATCTGTTTTTATTTTTTTGTGTCTGTTTGTTTTAAAGAGACAGGTCTTGCTGTGTTATCCAGGATGGTCTCGAACTCCTGGCCTCAAGCAATCCTTCCTCAGCCTCACAAAGTGCTGGGATTACAGGCCTGAGCCAGCCAGGAACATCCTATTTTGAAATGAAATTATTGTTTATCCACTGCAGGGAGTAGTGACCCCCTGTTACATTTTGATTATTCTGTCTCCTTTCAAACTAGGGGAAAATGAATTTTCCCCTGTGTGGCATTCAATGTATTGTTGTAGGTTTTATTGGAACAGAATATTTGATTTTCTACTTAGGTTTCCCTTTCAAATGTTTCAGGTGTACGAAGCCATCGACACCAGAGATGGAGCATCTTGTGCAGAGTTGGTGTCTTTTAAACATCCTCATGTTGCAAACCCACGACTTCAAGTAGGTAAAAGAACTGTGCACACAGGTGTCTGCAGAGAATTACAGGATAATCACTTTCCTAAGAGAAACGTAGAGTTTGAGTAAGAAGAAAACTAGTATTGTCACTCTTATTTGAAAATTGTAAAGTTTCTTTATGATTTATGTAATTTCAATTCATTTGTGGAGCACTGACTGTGTGGGTACGCTGGAATGATATGGACCTCCTGCCCCTGTGTTTGATTCCTACACAGCTCTCTGAGGTTTGGAGAAGTGAGATGGTGGAGAGACGGCGGAGCTTAGACTCTGTCCAGGCCTGTGCGTTCCCAAAGCCCCATAGACGTCATGCACCACAGGTGTCTCCCATTTAAGTAGAAAGTCCGGCAAGCCAAGGCCCAGCCTGGAGTTGTACATGGAGTTTCCATGTCATCTGTGGCGTAGATGATGTTGAGGTGGTATTTTCTATAGAAAATCTTGTGGACATTTGGTAAAGCCCTGTTTCCTTATTGACACCCATTATCATATTGGGGTGTGTTTCTACTGGGAGCAGCATTTTTCTTTTGGAAGAAAAATGGGCTTATCTATTGGTGATTATGTTTGGTGGTGTACAGATTTGCAACTGAGACCAGGTAAATCAGTCTCTGAAGTAGCAGCAGGCTTGTTTTTGTTTTTCTAATCAATACTATGTGATTCTATGTGTAGACAGTGTTGAAAACCATTGCTCTAAGTAGGAGTTAGTGCTAGAGACTTGATGAGACTCAAGCTCGCCTTGGCCAGAACACCCCATGGCTGGTGCTGTGTGCTTCATATTGTGTCACATGAGAGGACACACACTGTCCTGTTGGCTGTCTGAGATGGATCCCTTCATTGTAAAATTCCCCCCGTAAACTTTCTTCTGGTGGTTTCATTCCCCAGGGACTATAGAATGGTGATTTTTCTGATACTGTCATTCTTCTGTCTTACCATATCAGCACGGGCTCATTGCTTTTGTGAAAACAAAACAAAACAAAAAAAGTGTGCTGTAATCTATTGTGTATTAGTCCGGGTTCTCCAGAGAAACAGAGCCAATGGGATATATCGATATTTATAGAGGTTTAGTATGAGGAACTGGGTCCTGTGATTATAGAGGTCGAGAAGTCCCACACAAGGAGTGAATTCTTCCTTCCTCGACCTCTTGTTCTATTCAAGCCCTCATCAGATTGGTCACTGCCCGTCCACACTGAGGAGGGCCATCACCTTTCCTGAGTCTGCTAGTGCAACTGCCAGTGTCATCCAGAAACACCCTCACAGATGCTCCCAGAAATGACATTGTCTGGGGACTCCATGGCCAGCCAAGTTGACAGAATTAACCTTCACCTATTGAGATGTTCAGATTATCTAAAATTTGACTGTTAGGAGGAAAGGAAAACTTAGAAAGAAATGTCAGCTAGCGTAGCCCAGGAGATGAGACTGGTGCTCTCAGCAGGAAGCCGAAAAGGGTGAGTCCTAGCATAGCACCATCGGTAACTCGTTAGACCTCACTTACTAAACCTGTGATAGTTACTTAACAAGTATTTCTTGACTGACTGGTTATTAAATACTAAAATATATATGAAAGTGCCTAGAATATTTTCTGACCTGCAGAAGGCGAGACTAAATTATATTCATGGGCCTCTTGTTCCCCTGAAATATTGATAAATATTTGTTGAAGTAATGAACCATTTATTTATGAGACAGAGTATCTCTCTGTCGCCCAGCGGGTAGTGCAGTGGCACGATCTTGGCTTACTGCAACCTTCAGCACCCAGGTTCAAGCGATTCTCATGCCCAGCCTCCTGAGTAGCTGGGATTAGCAGTGTGCACCACCACACCCGGCTAATTTTTGTAATGTTTTTGTAGAAATGGGCTTTCACCATGTTGGCCAGGCTGGTCTTGAACCTCTGGCCTCAAGTGATCTGCCCACCTCGCCCTCCCAAAGTGCTGGGATTACAGGCGTGAGCCACCATGCTCACAGCCTCAACCTTTTATTTAGAGTTTTAAATATAAAGTGCTACTGTGAACTATAAAGCATAAATTTTCTTGAAACAGGTTCAAATATCTTTCTATATGTTACATTCTTTCTGTGCCTATTTATTTTACTTTTGCCATTTTTCTTTTTTAAAATCAGATGGCCTCTCCAGAGGAGAAGTGTCAGCAAGTCTTGGAACCCCCTTATGATGAAATGTTTGCAGCTCATTTAAGGTAATCTGTTGGGGAGGAAGAAAAACACACACATCTGGAAATTGCTGAATTAACTGGGTATTTTATCTTGCATTATCTTATGCTTGAAGCAGTGAATAATTGACTTTGAAAAAGTAGGAAAATGCATTTGTAATTTCACTTTGATAAAGCCTGTGAAAATTTTATACATCAGTTGTGTAATACTATTTTTAACATCACATAGTATTTACCATAGTGCCTGGATAGTGGTCTTTTTAGTAGAGTGTGGAGCCTAACCATTCACTTACCCCTTTTGTGGAAATAGTATGTCTTTTTTGAAGCTCTTTACGTTACTGGGAAAGAACTAGAGTTGAGCAAAGCAAACAATGCTGCTTTTATGTACACTTCGTGTCTACTGTGTTACCTCTGAAGGATCTTTTCAGGCAGAAGATGGTGTCCTTATAGCCATGTGAGATTTGATTACTGTCTTTCAGAGCAGCCTAGGCTACAGGACCAGGGTGGGGTCTGTGAGCAGGAATGTCCTGTGAACCCCACAGGGTCTTTGGAAGAGTTGGGGCACTACCGTGTTCCTTGTAGTACAAAGCACCTGTGATGTCCTGGCTCTGTGCGGTGTGCGATCGGTTCCAGATTGGACGATGAACTAACACTGACATTACCCAGCTGGGAATCCAGTTTGAATGTCATTGTCAGCTCCTGCTAGCGTGGAAGGGTCATACTCTGTTATCAGCGTGTTACTCATAAACCTGCTGGAGCTGGGTCCTTCTGGGGCTTGAAAGTGTAGTCTCCGAGCTTACCGTGGGACTCCTCTTATCCTCGGCTGTTTGTGTTCAGCCATTTGTGTGTTTCTTCCTTCACCCCTTTCATCCCAGGACCACTGGGACCTGTACAGTGAAGTGAGCTGTGTGTGCTGCATAACTAGTGCTAGGTTTTATCGTGTGACAGCATGTTTCTCTTTCTCCTCCAGGTGCACTTACGCAGTGGGGAATCATGACTTCATAGAGGCATACAAGTGCCAGACCGTGATCGTCCAATATCCTTTGTCATTCATGGCAGCTGTCCGGCGTAGAACGCATGCAGTGGATTACTTGGGACTTGAGACCCGGAAACATTGGGCCAGTTGCTCACTTCTGCAGTTAGAAAGGAATGACAGTGTTTTGGAAGAGAAACTCTTTTCAGCTCTTTCACTCGGGTACTTAAATTTAGCATGGATCTGAAGACTCATGCAGTCACTTAGTAAGGAAGAACCCTGGTGAAAAAGAAGGATCTTACCCTGTTGAGAAGAAGAAGGTTTAGGCAGTAAGTATAGTTACAGGGACTGGTTAAGTCCTGTGGTGAAATATCAGAAATCCAGAATTCAGGCAGAGATGGACAAGAGTGGAGTCAGATACACGTCGGCATTGAATTGTGGCGGCTGAAGACCTTAAACCAGACCAATTCCTACTTCAGTCATGTAAAGGGTATCTTTAGTTAAGGCCTGAATCGGTGAGTGTTCTAAGGATTTGTATGTATCTCTAGATTTTGTCTTTTCGTTTTAACCGCCTTGTTTAAATATACACAGAAGAGAGTTGGCCTACTTGCTAACAGCCTCCTTAGAATTCAAGAATTCTTGAGTTGATAAAATCAGCCTTATGCTACAGATTCTAAAGCACTTAAATATAACTCATGATCATCTGGGCTCAGAGAAACCAAATAAAATATCTGAAATGGCTGATTTTTAAAAATCTTGTAAGTCTTTTTTACTTAGGAGACAATATGTATGAAATACGTGTGTTTAGTATACTTGAGCCTAGTGAGATACAGATATTTGTAATGTGAGCTTATACCTTTTTTCCTTCAAGAACTTACTATTGTTGTAACATAAATCTGCTAAAGGGTGAGCTACATTCCTTAAAATTTAGATTCTTATTCTTTACTTTAATCGTACATAGCATTGTTTGAACTTTATATGCCGTATCTTCCTTAATACAGTACATCATTCTTGCGAGCATTCCAGGCCCACAAAGAAGAAAACTGGTAAGTGTGAACAGAAACAGCTGAATTCGTAAATGGCAATTTTTTTAAGTAGAATCTTTTTACAAATTTGCTTTAAATAAATGTATATTGTATTTTCCATGTGGATATTTAATAATCATTGTGTTGACATATGGTAATATCCACACAGATTAATGGAGTTACAAATCTAGTAAACTTAAATGGTAGATCAGCCACATTGTTTGCAGTGTGTCTGTGTAAATATAGTATTATTTTTATTTCACATGTCCATTTCCCCAGATATTTATTAAATACTGTTTTTTCCTTCAGTTGTCAATTTTGAACTTTTGGTTTTAAACTTTAGATAAAAGAGGTAGACCAACTACCGTTCATTTGGGGTGTTCTAATACATAATAATGGTGGTATTTTTAAATGCCTTGCCAAACTAATTCTTAATTTTATGATTTATTAACAAACTATAGATAAATACTGAATTTTGTTTATACTAAAGTAACCAAAGGCCTTTTGCAAACAAACCCACCCTTTTATCTTTTTTTTCTTTTCTTGAGACGGAGTCTTGCTCAGTTGCCCAGGCTGGAGTGCAGTGGCGTGATCTCGGCTCACTGCAAGCTCCGCCTCCTGCCACGCTTTTATCTTTTAACGTAAAAACTTGCACATGAAAACAGTCCAGTTTTGCCAGTTGGCTGTAAAAGTTGTTTTGTGACATTTTGTGTATTACATATTCTGGTTCCTGTTAGGAAATCTGATCAAACCACTTCTTTTTTAGTGGTGCTGTTTGGATACTGGTGGGAAGCTGAGGGGAGGAGGATATCCTGGGAGCCTGGAGCTGCAGCAGGGCTGGGGCCTTTGGCAGGGTTGGGGAGCACCGCAGTGTGAGGCCCTGGGATGATCAGGAAGTTTGGGGCCTGCAGCCCACCCGGACAGAAAGTGAGGAAGCAAACAACTGTCAGAGTTTTGGATAAGCGTGGACTCCATTCTGGATAGTAGTCCTGGGCGTCTGTGTTCTTCCCACCTCTGGGGATGGAATCTTGGGTCTCATAGCCCCTCACACTTGTTTACTTTTTGTCCTGCAGGGCTCTGCCTGTCATGTATGCAGTAGCGCTTGACCTTCGAGTGTTTGCTAATAATGTAAGTTTAATTTGCTGTCATTATTGTTTTAAAATTAACACTTGGTTTTAAATTAACACTTGTTTTAAAATTTTATAAATTGTTTAAATTTTTATAAAATTTTGAAAATTGTTTAAAATTTTATAAAATGTTTAACAATAAAACACTTGTTTTAAAATTAACGCTTGGTAAAATAAACACTGTTGTTTAATTTCATGTCATTCTTTCCAAAAGTTTTGAGGAGTGAATTGAAGTTGAGATGTGTCTGGTATAGGAAGCAAAAGAACAGATATTGACTATTCTTTCTAGGTTAACAGAAACAGATTTAAGTAAACATTTGCTCAGATTTCCACACTGTTCATACAGAGGGAGAGGTTTCATTTTGTCGTTAACCATTTATGGTATGTATTATTTTTATGAAGTCAGTGGAACAACAGCAAATGAGCTATTCTGCATCTCTTCCACCTTTAAGATGTGGCCTGCTACCCCGATGAAAAGAATTCAGCTTCATATAGATTTGGGCAGTAGGAGGGGGCTTCCCTGGGGTGAGGGGAGATCCTGGGTTTTATGGAGGTGACTTCCCCTTGGGGACCCACAGAAGCCCCCATTATGGAGCAGCATTTGTCTACCTTTTGGTTTTAGGACGACCCCTTTACGGTTTTAGAAATGATTGATGACTTCAGTTCTAGGCAGCATGCAATGGAATTCTCCCTATTGCGCCTGCTAAAAACAGTTAAAACCCTGGGAGTTGTCAGGCTGGCATGGCTATGGGAGGTGGAGAGAAGAGGGGGAGGGGGCTCAGAGTTGGATGTAGGGAGTCTCCGGGTTTCCCTTTTGTCTCCTGTCTGTCCTGGACTGGGTGCCTTAGAAACCTGAAGCCTTTCACTGTCAGGCAGAGACAAAATCCCCAAGGAAACCAGGAGCCTGGGAAGACAGTCCAGCAAGACAGAACTCTGACCATCACTGCCTCACTGCAGTGCCAGGCACAAAAAGTCCGCAGGTCCCTCCCGCCCCATCTTCAAAGTGGTGCGGGCTGGGGGTGGCCCAGGACCTCGACCCTGGGCTAGCAGCAATGAGGAGCTAGGTGGATGTCAGAGGCTCAGCAGGGGACCTGGACCTCCCCCATTCAGTGGCAAAGGGGATGCGCCTGTTTCTCTGCTTACATCGTGAGGCCTGCTAAAAGAAGATAAATAAGATCCACAGTCTTGTCACGTAGTGCCCCAAATGTCCAGGATTTAATCGACACCGATTACCAGGAAAATGTCAACTTCCTGAGATTTTGAATGAGAAAAGACGTTCAGCAGAAGACACCAATGCTGAGATTGCACAGATGTTGGAATTATCTAATAAGCATTTTAAACAGCCCTCTTGATTCAGCAAGCAATTTAGAACGTGCTTGAAACAAATGAAAACATTTAAAGTCTCAACAAGGAAATAGGCAATATAAAGAAGAATGGGGGAGGAGGGAGGGGGGTTCCAAGATGGCCAAACAGAAACAGTTCCAGGCTACAGCTCCCAGTGTGAGCGACGCCGAAGATGGGTGATTTCTGCATTTCCAACTGAGGTACCAGGTTCATCTCACTGGGGCGTGTCAGACAGTGGGTGCAGGACAATGGGTGCAGCCCATCAAGCGAGAGCTGAAGCAGGGCGAGGCATCGCCTCACCCGGGAAGCGCAAGGGGTAAGGGAATTCCCTTTCCTAGCTAAGGGAAACCATGACACACAGCACCTGGAAAGTCAGGTCACTCCCACCCTGATACTGCGCTTTTCCAAGGGTCTTAGCAAGCGGCACCAGGAGATTATATCCTGTGCCTGGCTCAGAGGGTCCCACGCCCATGGAGCCTCCCTCATTGCTAGCACAGCAGTCTGAGATCTAACTGCAAGGTGGCAGTGAGGCTTGGGGGCGCCCGCCATTGCTGAGGCTTGAGTAGGTAAACAAAGTGGCCGGGAAGCTCGAACTGGGTGGAGCCCACTGCAGCTCAAGGAGGCCTGCCTACCTCTGTAGACTCCAACTCTGGGGACAGGGCATAGCCAAACAAAAGGCAGCAAAAACCTCTGCAGATTTAAATGTCCCTGACTGACAGCTTTGGAGAGAGTAGTGATTCTTCAAGCACAGAGTTTGAGATCTGAGAACAGACAGACTGCCTCAAGTGGGTCCCTGACCCCCAAGTAACCTAACTGGGAGGCATCCCCCAGTAGGGGCAGACTGAAACCTCACACGGCCGGGTACCCCTCTGAGACGAAGCTTCCAGAGGAACAATCAGGCAGCAACATTTGCTGTTCAGCAGTATTCACTCTTCTGCAGCCTCCGCTGCTGATACCCAGGCAAACAGGTCTGGAGTAGACCTCCAGCAAACTCCAACAGACCTGCAGCTGAGGGTCCTGACTGTTAGAAGGAAAACTAACAAACAGAAAGGACATCCACAGCGAAACCCCATCTGTACATCACCATCATCAAAGACCAAAGGTAGATGAAACCACAAAGATGGGGAAAAAATAGAGCAGAAAAGCTGAAAATTCTAAAAATCAGAGTGCCTCTCCCCCTCCAAAGGAATGCAGCTCCTCGCCAGCAGCGGAACAAAGGTGGACAGAGAATGACTGAGAGAAAAAGGCTTCAGACGATCAAACTTCTCTGAGCTAAAGGAGGAAGTTTGAACGCATCCCAAAGAAACTAAAAACCTTGAAAAAAGATTAGACGAATGGCTAACTAGAATAACCAATGTAGAGAAGTCCGTAAATGACATGATGGAGATGAAAACCATGGCACGAGAACTACGTGACAAATGCACAAGCTTCAGTAACCGATTCAATCAACTGGAAGAAAGGGTATCAGTGATTGAAGATCAAATGAATGGAATGAAGCGAGGAGAGAAGTTTAGAGAAAAACAGGTAAAAAGAAATGAACAAAGCCTCCAAGAAATATGGGACTATGTAAAAAGACCAAATCTACATCTGATTGGTGTACCTGAAAGTGATAGGGAGAATGGAACCAAGTTGGAAAATGCTCTGCAGAATATTATCCAGGAGAACTTCCCCGACCTAGTAAGGCAGGCCAACATTCAAATTCAGGAAATACAGAGAACGCCACAAAGATACTCTTGAGAAGAGCAACTCCAAGACACATAATTGTCAGATTCACCAAAGTTGAAATGAAAAAAAAAATATTAAGGGCACCAGAGAGAAAGGTCGGGTTACCCACAAAGGGAAGCCCATCAGACTAACAGCAGATCTCTCGGCAGAAACTTCAAGCCAGAAGAAAGCGGGGGACAATATTCAACATTATTAAAGAAAAGAATTTTCAGCCCAGAATTTCATATCCAGCCAAACTAAGTTTCATAAGTGAAGGAGAAGTAAAATCCTTTACAGACAAGCAAATGCTGAGAGATTTTTGTCACCACCAGCCCTGCCCTACAAGAGCTCCCGAAGGAAGCACTAAACATGGAAAGGAACAACCGGTACCAGCCACTGCAAAAACATGCCCAAATGTAAAGACCATCAATGCTAGGAAGAAACTGCATCAACTAACGAGCAAAATAACCAGCTAACGTCATAAAGACAGGATCAAATTCACACATAACAATATTAACCTTAAATGTAAATGGGCCAAATGCTCCAATTAAAAGATACAGACTGGCAAATTGGATAAAGAGTCAAGACCCATCAGTGTACTGTATTCAGGAGACCCATCTCACATGCAGAGACACACATAGGCTCAAAATAAAGGGATGGAGGAAGATCTACCAAGCAAATGGAAAACAAAAAAAGGCAGGGGTTGCAATCCTAGTCTCTGATAAAACAGACTTTAAACCATCAAAGATCAAAAGAGACAAAGAAGGCCATTACATAATGGTAAAGGGATCAATTCAACAGAAGAGCTAACTATCCTAAATATATATCCACCCAATACAGGAGCACCCAGATTCATAAAGCAAGTCCTTAGAGAATTACAAAGAGACTTAGACTCTCACACAATAATAATGTGAGACTTTAACACCTCACTGTCAACATCAGACAGATCAACGAGACAGAAGGTTAACAAGGATATCCAGGAATTGAACTCAGCTCTGCACCAAGCAGACCTAATAGACATCTACAGAACTCTCCACCCCAAATCAACAGAATATACATTATTCTCAGCACCACATCGCACTTATTCCAAAACTGACCACATAGTTGGAAGTAAAGCATTCCTCAGCAAATGTAAAAGAACAGAAATTATAACAAAGTATCTCTGAGACCACAGTGCAATCAAACTAGAACTCAGGATTAAGAAACTCACTCAAAACCACTCAACTACACAGAAACTGAACAACCTGCTCCTGAATGACTACTGGGTACATATCGAAATGAAGGCAGAAATAAAGATGTACTTTGAAACCAATGAGAACAAAGATATAACATACCAGAATCTCTGGGACACATTTAAAGCAGTGTGTAGAGGGAAATTTATAGCACTAAATGCCCACAAGAGAAAGCAGGAGAGATCTAAAATTGACACCCTAACATCACAATTAAAAGAACTAGAGAAGCAAGAGCAAACACATTCAAAAGCTAGCAGAAGGCAAGAAATAACTAAGATCAGATCAGAACTGAAGGAGATAGAGACACAAAAAAACCCTTCAAAAAAATCAATGAATCCAGGAACTGGTTTTTTGAAAAGATCAGCAAAATTGATAGACTGCTAGCAAGACTAATAAAGAAGAAAAGAGAGAAGAATCAAATAGACACAATAAAAAATGATAAAGGGGATACACCACTGATCCCACAGAAATACAAACTACCATCAGAGAATAGTATAAACACCTCTATGCAAATAAACTAGAAAACCTAGAAGAAATGGATAAATTCCTGGACACATACACTCTCCCAAGACTAAACCAGGAAGAAGCTGAATCCCTGAATAGACCAATAACAGGCTGTGAAATTGAGGCAATAATTAATAGCCTGCCAACCAAAAAAAGTCCAGGACCAGATGGATTCACAGCCGAATTCTACCAGAGGTACGAGGAGGAGCTGGTACCA